GGAACACGGTTATGCTAGCCTTACTCCTCTACAAAGCTCGGAAACAGATGACACAAGGCCCATCGAAGATCATGGCTGAAAAGGCATTCAAGACCAGTGTAACTATCGCGATGTTGTGGGCAACCGTCTTCATCCTCTGGAGCACCGGCGTCGTAGCTTTTACCATGGTTTTCTCTTTCGACCTGATCCGTGAGAATTTCAACATTGTTCATATCGTTGCTATGAACTTGTTTATGCTGAACCCGGTTCTGGACCCTATCATATATGGCCTGCGTATTCCATCAGTCAGAGAAGCATACACCCGTATGCTGTGCTGTAATAACCCACTAAGAGGTAACAACATCGAAGCGCCCATCGCTATAGCTACATTGGATAAGAGGTCAGTAGAATCTCAAGGCACCCGAAAACCGTGTGATTCTTTTGAAGTCGAGAATAATCAGTTGTTTTTGCTTAGGAGAAACACTGTATGAGAGTTAGGCGTGTGGTAATTATTATGTACATCTTCACGCTTAGGGGTGTTGTTTTCAGTTATTGTAATTACAGGCGGAAAGGAAGCAAATTTATTGTTGTGTGCATGCATGCGTGTGTGTGTGTGTGTGTGTGTGTGTGTGTGTGTGTGCATGCATGCGTGTGTGTGTGTGTGTGTGTGTGTGTGTGTGTGTGTGTGTGTATGGGGGGGGGGTAAATATTCAGAAAAAAAACATAGTGCTGTAGTTTGACTATATACATGTTAAAGGCTTATTTGAGTATACCTATAACATTTATTCAGTATTTAATGATATACTTTATGAATGAAAACTTTAATGCAGTTTTTATGGTAACCAAATAACTTTTATCCAGTATTTGAGCCTTACGCCCAGATAAATGTAATATTGTAAGGGATGTTACTGTGTGTAATTATTATTATTATTATTATTATTATAAATTCTGTTACCATATATTCGGTTTAAACAAGTAGACAGGATTCTTTAACCCCTCTCCCTCCTGAGTCCTGCAGGCCTGGCGTGATTAAAAAGCGGAGGACGAAGCAACGCTTTACTTTATGTGGACTTACGCTCGATTTCAAAAACATGTTCTTTTGAAAACATGAAAAATAGGCAGGCATATTTACTGAACTCTTTCAACTAAATTCAACAGGGTCAAAATACAAAACACCTACAAAGTTGTTGGTCTGCAAAACAATCAGGGGCGCCTGAAATCTATGTTTGCAACAATTGTCTATTTTCTAGAGTTATTACTTATAAATGAATATTTGTTTATGTTTATGATTTCAGCTGGAAGCAAGTCAGTAAATACAACATTTAGTGTAGTCAAGTTGGTGATATATACTCTGCATTCTTTGTGTGGTGATTGATATATGTAGTGTCCTCAACAGTTCTTTATTCTAACCTTTTCATGTATATTATGGGGTATCGTAAACATCATAGGCACCGCACATAACAACTGGTAAATATTTATTTGTTTCAGTTGGTTGTTTTAATAGTAACAAACTAACCAAGATAATTTTTTGCACAATGATGTTTTATAACATATGACAAATTCTGTTATCTCTCCTAGACTTTTTTCATACATTTCCAATGTTCGTCAATATTTATTACTGCTAGTTTACATATGATATTTAAAGTTATAAGCAACTAAAATATAACCTGTCATGTTGTCTAATTACAGTTCAATAAATTGATTTTCAGTCAAATGAACTGTTGGTTTGTAATCCTATGTAATGCTGTTCCCAACAAACCGAACACTTCTGGATCTTCACTGGAAATGCTCGACACTGATAAACATATATATATATGTGTGTGTGTGTGTGTGTGTGTGTGTGTGTGTGTGTGTGAGAGAGACTGTATTTTATGCCTCAGTAAAATTATGGATTTGTGGTCAAAAGCTTTATTTTTTTCAAGAGTATTTTATTGCAGAGCAATTCCCCCTGTTGTTCTAATTTTCCTGATCATATTTTGAAAACCAAACAACGTGTAAACTTAAAGTTTAAAATTTGCATTGAATGTCCTTATTTACATGCATGTTTCAAATGGGAACGCATTTGAGAAGGTAGCCTTCACAAATGGTTTCACCTCTCTCTGTCTCCTACGTTTTTTAAATAACGTGAGTAAAAACAGTTCATCCCCTGATTCCTCCCACTCTGTTGCTATGTTTTGATACATGTCAAAATAATCTCAAGGTAGGAAACCACTATCTCTCTGTCAATAATAATAATAAATAATTAAAAAAAACTGAATATCTCTCTGCCAGCAACTAATAGTAGACATATTTTCCCGTTTGCAATACTCGAACGGAATTTCTTTTAATTCCCGTAGGTTTTAGTTTTAGTTCCTTTATATCTGTTGGTGATAACAATTTAAGTCACATTTTTCATTTACGTTGTGATAACGCTATGTGTTTATACGTCTACAGTATACAACAAATATTAACACGTACGTTTGTTGGGATTTTGAGACACTGCGAGACACATATAGATTCCGTCTAGAGAAAGGCAGCGGTGAAGATATAAGATCAACGTGAAGGGCAATGCAGGATTAAGTGACTTTCTTGAACATCAGCGTCTGAGTTGGATTTCAAATTATTGTCACTGCTTGATAACATTTCTGTTAGCGTTCTAATCATAGGGGACAGACTTATGCGGTGTTTTAATTAAGGGTAAACCATAAGCGGGTCCTCGCCATGAGTGACGAAATTAATCCAAGTCTGTCATTGTCGTCACCCAACAAATTACCCAAGCATAACAAAATACTTGAACAATTTGATTCATTTGACTCATATTCTGAGGCATCAAAACACACGGACGTACAACTCCAGGCCTCCATTGGTTATGAACAAAAAAATGTCCTCCAATGTTACACTAATCTTAAGATAAAGATAAATTTAGTCGATAAATATATAGAACATAAATATCGGGAATAAATTACCCTGTAAATGCGTCGTTGTGTTAAAAGACATTAAAAGCAGTAAGAATAAAGTTCAAATAAGTTTAATACTTTGTATGAAAATGGAATAAAGCTGAAGGGTAAAATCTGCAAAGCTGCATATAAAACGTTTGCTACCCTTAAAAACTAATAGAAAACATAGAGTTGCTTGTTATAACATTAAAATGGTTGTGCGGAGGCTGGAAACTGTCCCTCATGAAGATCATTCCAACCCCCAAAGTTTCCGGATTCTGGAAAAAAAAACCTGCTCATTTAAACTGAAAAAGACATAAATTCCAACAAATTGTACATGTCGGTCTTGACAACGTGTGATAATAATTAAATTTAACACTAACATTTGAGAAGTAAATAGAGATGAGACAAAAGTGAGACCCGGAAGATTCATTTGATATCTAACAATCGCTCTCTCTTTTGACGTGATTTCCAAATGCGGATAAATAGTGGTTTCCCCGACCAAGAATTGTGTCAGGTGTGACACAGATCGTATTACGTCCGGTGTGACACAGATCGTATTACGTCCGGTGTGACACAGATTGTATTGCGTCAAGTGTCCTACAACATATTTAGGGTTCGAAAATGGGCCCAATAGGAACAGTTCTAAAATACAGGGTGATTCTTTAAATATGTTGCTATCATTATTGACATTGACCAATGTGTTTTCTAACAGGCATCAGTTTGATACCTTGGTATCAAGATGAGTCAAAGTCACATTTTCATAATTTCAACAGGTTTGGTGGCTGATTATTAAAATTCATGGTTATGACTTATCCAAATGCTATGTGATGAAGTGCCCAAAATGAGAAAAGCTCAACTGAACGTTTCTTGTTCGTGCAGCTTTGACCACTTAATTGTCTTTTAGCTTGCTTGACGTGGGATGTGAGCATTACTGGCCGGGATCAAGCCCAGCAGATTGCCATGATTTCTGTGCCTCAGAAAGAGTATAAAATGATTGAGAGCACTTTTTTTCACAAAAGGACCAACTATATTTATTGTGAATAATAATTAAAAAAACAAGCATTTAACTGGACTGTTTCAAATATAATATCTTTGAAATAATTACACATTTGAATGTGACTTGACTTTTATCTGACGCAATTTAAAACGTGATAAAACAGAGTGGTTAAACATAAACGTAAGCATCACGGAGGGCCTGAAGGGGTAGCCCCGCCCCTTTATTTCAACCCCGTCAGTCAAAAGCGCTGGAGGCAAGGGGGGGGGGGTGACCTGTCCTGCTAATATTTTCTGAAAAGTTTATTACCCACTTCATGATTAAATTCGCCTGCCTACGACACATGTATATCTTTAAAACTTTAAAAAGAAGAATAAACACAAATGATTTATTTTCACATATGCATACTCAGCTGTCAGTATTATAATTCTACTCAGCTGTCAGTATTATAATTCTACTCTCTAATAATTAAAGTACAAATGCCAATACAATTCGATTTTCAACTTCTTGAAAAAGAAATACAGAGAAAAAGAGATAGTAGGAGAACATTTATTCCATATTTTAATGTCGTTGTTGACACAACAAAACAGATTACAGTTATTTTTTTATAACCAATATATTATTTTATTATTATCCAAAGATTCAGAAAGTTCCCCTACTGCAATACAATGAGCCACCGTTACACAATCACATAGGAAGATTTGTATAAAACAATAAAATAATGCACAAACATTTCACATAATAATGACCACATTCTAAAAAATTCATTGTATTTGAAACTTTATTTTTCATAACATGAAACAAATCGGACCTCTCTTTACGTATGCTTTTCAGTGTCAAGGAAAGACCGAAGTCCAACTTCAAGTAATTTGAAATGACCACTAAAAAAAAAAAAAAAAAAAAAGCTAATAGCAACATATTAAAAGCCAACAAGGGTGTAACTTTTATTTCACAAAGCAGGCAAAATACCCACCTCTCATCGTTAATATTTAGACACTCTATGGATAAAGCAATATCTTATAACAACTATATTAAATTGACCACTTGGGTTGGGATTATTTGATTTTTGAAACCCAGCAACATTATGGCCCTCATGGGATAAATGCTAAGTTTACAAAATTGCGAAATTTTACAAGAACAACAACTGCTTAATAGTACAAGGCCATCAAGCGCTTTAAAGAGACATTATAAGCTATAACATTAACAAGAAATGCATACTTAAGTAACACAAACAAGTTTAAAGCCTACATCTTCCAGCACATGGTATATATATTTTCAACAGATACCATTAATTCAGACATAATTGTAAATTACTTTACACACATTAATTTGTATTCAAGAGATTACAGCCAAAGTAGCATTGACAAGTGCCCGAAATTGCGAAATTTTACAAGAACAACAGCTGCTTTAAGGAGGCATTGTAAGTACCAGTAATATCATTTACAGATTTTGGTAACATGACTACGTATAAAACCAACCCCTTCTAGCACATGCTATATATTTTTATCCAGATGACATTAATGTAACATCCCGTTAATTGTATTCAGTAATCGTATTCCTCAAAGTTCTCGGTTGTAGTAAGCTGTCAATATGTAAATTGGCCGAAACCCGCCCCTCTCACAACAATTAAGGCATGGATGTTAAACAGTATGGATTCCATCTGAGACGTTAATCATGACAACCTGAAAAAGGCAAATCGATATTTTGAGCCCTTAGGTTTTATGTGAATCTTGCAGCACACCATGGTATAAGACTAAATGAATTGCAATACATATACATACTTCAGAAACACAAGCATACAGGAATGGTATATAAATAAAAAAGGAAACGTTATTCATATGTTTTGTTTTAAATGCAAAACCCCGGTCGGAGTGTCCACCCTTAAGTTCTGGTAGCGTCTCGAATTTTTAACTGCTAACCTAAAAGCATTTACATATAGATATAAATTGGCATGGAAGTATGAGAACATTATTAAACTGGGATTTTAGAACTCTTCAAGATGTGCGCACGATGGCTTTATGGGGAAATGGACATACGAATTTAAAGTGAAAATATACTTGGGGTTTTGTTACTGCTTACGAAGTTGCTGCAGGAGCCTGAGAAACTCCACGTCTAAATTCCAATGCCTCATTCTAAATGTGTCCAAAACACCACTTACCGCTCGGTATCATGTACAGTTGGTTGGCCCATGGCCCACCTTCTCCGTCTGATTGACAATTGGTAGAAGGCCCGTATTTCATATATGTTTCCTCGGCGGTACAAGAGGAGCCACACCATCCACTTTTCTGCACGACAAAATACTTGTATCCGCGACTCTTTGCAGCTTGGTAGCATTTGTCGATTGGGTACACTCTTGTCTCGTAAGGACCGTCGAGGATGGGATCCTGACCTTCTAACGTGGGAACTGCCCTGTCTGCCTTGTCAGCCCAGCAACCCAATTTTATATAACCTGTAAAGATACAAGCTGCGCTCGGAAAATTGCCTCAATTGTCATGGCAGTCGAGCACCCCAATTTCATATAATCTGTAAGAATTCAAGTTTTGCTTAGAATGCGTTAACATCATTGGAAAACTCGGGTTCACGTGCGTGATTACTTTCCCCGTTAACAATTCTTAGGTTATGCTGTCAACCATGGTGACTGGCTTATACTGCCCTATGTATTTACAATTATGGAATGTGAAAACTCCATTCATCGTGTGTTTATCTCGGGTCAATTTCGTAACAATGTGATACCTGCACGAACAAGATTTTTTGAGGAGATTTCTGCCCTTTCTAAGTCACACTAAGGTATGTCCTACCCCAAACTGCAGATAAAATTTCTCACTCAGTAGGCAAATTATGCTGTTTCAACGTTGAAACAATGTTGAACTTCAACGTTGACAACGTTGTCCAACCCGTTTTCAACGTTGGTCCATTGGCCATTGATCTATGTCACTATGTCTGCTGGGTTAATTTATTGATATAAATAAAAACGTTTTTGGGTTCACTCTATTGATTTCTAATTATGACCATCACGAATTAAATCCTATCTTTTTGAACAGGTTCTGAACAACAGGTCATCAGATGACACTTTCGGTAACAGTTTTGGAAATGGAAACTTAATTGCCAGGACTGGTAGATTTTTACGTAAATGAGAAAAAGAGAAACAGAACTGAAAGTACGTGATATTATACCCCCAGGAATACATCATAATAATTATGATGTATTCCTGGGGGTATACTTTTTAGCATTTCGGGACGTTTGGTTACTGGAAGGGAAAATCATTAAATTGTCCGAAATATTTAATTGTCTGCTACTTGTCCATTTCCAGAATACGTTAACTTGACCCTTTCTGATGGTTCTGTTTCCCAAATTTGGAAAGAGATCAAAGTTGATTTTTGCTAAGATACCTGGTTTCTTTTAAACAGTTGAAACTGTTACTGTCAATTCCCAATTTCCTATGATAAATGTGCAGAGCCACCGCCACTTACTGCTTGTTATCATATACAGTTGGTTGGCCCAAGGTCCACCTTCTCCGTCAGATTGGCAATTAGTTGAAGGTCCGTGTTTCATATATGTTTCCTCGGCGTTACAAGAAGAGCCACACCATCCACCATTCTGTACGACGAAGTATTTGTACCCGCGACTCTTTGCAGCTAGGAAGCATTTCTTGATTGGGTTCACTCTTGTCTCGTACTGTCCGTCAAGGAGGGGATCCTGGCCTTCTAAAGTGGGAACTGCCCTGTCTGCCGTGTCAGCCCAGCAACCCAATTTTATATGATCTGTAAAAATACAATCTGCGCTCAGAACACGTCTAAAACAATTCGGACCACGGTTACACTCCCTGTTTAAAATATTTGTGTTAAGCTGTCTAGGGCGTAGGCAGATTTATGAAAATGACGTTTTACAGTGCAGACCCCCACCGTACCTATCTGGGTACTGGTAGCTGGAGAAAAAACGTCATCTTAACAGTGTCTCGTTTCAAATACATATCAGAAGGGAATACAATGTAAATAGGTACAATTGAACTTTTTTTCCTTTTTAGCATTCAGGTTGTTGCTTACTGCAACATGAATCCGCTACGGCGACCATCATGGCTATGGTCAGAATAAAACCAACAGAGTAACTCGGCATGGTGTACTGCAAACTGGCAAAAGACTTGATGTGGTCCAAAGTGTTCCTGCAAAATAGAGAAAAAATATGACGATCACAGAGGACTACCTACTAGTATATATACACAAACTGGCACATATACTGTATTACCCATACAAAAATTAGACTCTGTGATACTCTAAAGGACAGCCAATCGGACTCAATCAATATGAATGCTATCAGACCTTTATGGGGGTCCTTTGGGGAAAATGTCCTATAGTTAATTCTATATGGGGCACCGTAGTGCTGTTAAAAAGCTATAGTCTGGATAGAAAAATATTCCTTTGGACATATCTATGAGAAGGCTACAACGAACATTCTACAAGACTCATTTTAGAAATCCTATCTGTATGGCTTTTGGTTTTTTCATTAGGAATAAAGCACACATGTAACTTAATGTAAATTTTATGGATGGTTATAAGAACATGGCAGCAGAACTGCCAAATGTACAGACAAAAACAGGTAATGATGCACAAAATAGATTCTTTTGTCAGTTGTGATGCAAGTAATGCCTTACAGCAAAGTCAACATCAAATTGAAATTTGTATAGTTTTAATGATGTATCATAGATAAAATGGATATCCAGCTAATATAGGGTTCATGGACACGGGTACTGAAAACGCAATTTCGTGAGAATTTTGATTTAACAAATATGCCTTATTTCTTTGAAAAAAAAATCAAATTAAGTTAGCTCTCCAACAATAGCTGTATTTTAGACTTAAAACAATTCTTGTAAGTTTTAGTACCACAGTTTCATATATACTGTTATTACGTCATCGCACATTTTTTCAATATTTATATAATATTGCATAATGCTTGACTGCACAAACACCAACAGTATTTAACTTTTTTTTTACGTGTAGCAGAAATCATAGGATCTTGCATGTTTGTGCACACTGATATTTCTTTTATGTACCTAATACTACAATGTAACTTTTCCATGGGTAACGTAGGTATCGTTGATTTTTTCAGACCTAATCTTATGTGAAAACATGTTTTGGAACCACGCTTGATACACACGGTATATACTTTTTATCCGGATGCATAGTTTGATAAAAACTAAATGCTATGTATTTGTATGTAATTTTGATTATTGTTGTGCTTTATTTTTAAGGGCCTAATCTTTAACTTCGAGTAAGGTATACGTATCTTTTATTTGGTGCCACATGTTGTTAGAAGATGAACTGAGCAAACTGTTGCAGTTGTATGTTTTTAAAATTATGACGCAGACCTCTATAAATATAAGCATGCTGCAACCACAACATGAACGTTATGGCAATGGTATAAACTAAATTGGTGTCAGTAATGTATGTATCGTTTTGGGACATAAGATAATAATTTCTACTGCATATTGCCAGAAGAACTAAATAACGTGCACATGCATAACCATATGGATACTGGATATTTTTATCACTCAATTACATACTTTTTTGATGAATCAAGTTAATAAAATTTTAATCAGCACTCAAAAATAACAATGTATGTATTGATTTTGGAAGATTAGATTATAATTGCTGCCCAAAGAACTAAATAACGGCCATATAACCATATGTGATGTGCACACAATCATTTTACCGGATAAAAATTTTGGCCATGGATACGAATTTTAATTTGTATATAACTTTTTTTGGAAAAGAATGAATATCATTTTACTTCTAAACACTGCCTTTGGAACAGTCCGTACAAGAAACCCTGTGGAATACCCTTTTGAAAGTTCGCAAAGGAACTAAATAACTTGTTTCGGCATAAGGCATGGAATGTAATCAAACAAATATTACACCTTTTTAATCTTGTTCAGCGGCTTGATAACTGAGTTCAACCATTCTGATTAGAACCAATTTTTTTTTACAAATTATTACAAATTTTTCAAATTACAAATTTTACACATTTTTACAGAGTATTTTCTGATGTTCATATATAGGTATGGGACAATAAAAAAAACTTGCAAAAGTGAGAATAATCTTTGGGGACATTTTAATTTGACGAAGAAATGCGACGCTAATGATGAGCCCGTGATTCTAAAGTAATGGCGCAATGGCAATACCAGGTTTAATGCAGGTTCTTCTGGCAACAATATTGATGATGATAAGATGAGTTCGGGCATCAGTGGGACGGATTAGACCCGTGGACTTGTCAGGAGGGGCACTTTCAGCCACAGCTTTCCTCTGGAGTAGTTTAAATTAGTTCGACTTGAAACGCCAAACCATCTGGCAAAGTCGGTTTTCTCGTACGTAAGTATTGCAAAAAAAAAAAACAAAAAAACAAAAAAAAAAAAAAAC